GCGGCCAGCTCTTCATGGGAGCTGCCTGCAGACCCGCCTCCCCGGCCAGGGCAGCCCCAGACCGACCCCGGTCAAGGGCACTGCTTGTGGGTCAGGGTCCAGAGGGAGGCGGCCTCCTCCAGCCACAGGCGTGGGCGTGTCTGCACCCACAGGAAGGCGCAGAATGGGGCCTCGAGGAAGCGGGGGAGCTGAGGACAGCACGCTTCATAGAACGACTTTCCTGAGTATTTTCAAGAACTAGAGCCGTTCTGGTTTTATGGAGGTTCACTTAGAAACGGGTGTCTGTAGCTCAGAAAGCACTTGGCTTGGAAACGAGAGACCAGGTGCCCCTGTCCTCCGCGGGCTGTGCTGCCTCCGTGCTGAGAGGCCGTTTGCAGACGTCCTGCTCTCGAGGCAGATGGTCCCCGGTCAGCCCAGGTCCTGGCTTCTCCACTGACAGACCCAGCCTGGGCCCCGGTGCCAAGGCCTAACCCTGCCTCGTTCTCTTCTCTCCAGATAATCAACCTCAGACAGATCCAGGAGGTGTTCAACCAGTTCCGGGTGGTTCTGACGTAAGGGGCCCCCCTGCCCACCGACTCCTTCATGGGGGGGGCGTGACTCCGCCTCCAAGCACACCCCCGACCTCTCCTGGGCGAGTGCATCCTCTGCCCTGCCCACCGACTCCTTCATGGCGGGGGGGGGTGACACCGCCTCCAAGCACACCCCCGGCCTCTCCTGGGCGAGTGCATCCTCTGAGGGTGGGGGCTTGGCCGTGGGTGCACCCTGGGGACCCAGGCACAGGCGAGCTGCTCCTGTCAGGTCTGGTCGACGGTGAGGGCCGGGCTCCTTCCCGCGGGGCCACACCCGAACCTCTGCCTGCAGGACACACCCGCTCTTTCTCACTCTCCCCAGCCAACAGGAGCAGGAGGTGGAAGCCGCTTTGCGCCGGAAGTACACCCTCATAGACAAGAATGACTTTGCAGCCATTTCTGCTGTCCAGAAGGTATGCACGGCCGCCTCTTGCTGGCAGCACTCGCGTCCGATTTCTCTCTCCCAAGACTTTCCAGAGGCAGCAGGTGTCCTGCCTGGAAGCCCATGTAGGGTGGGAACAGATGGGGTCACGCAGGACGAGTGTGGGGTGACCGAGGCAAGGGCCAGCCTCGTGTGGCTCGCAGGCGCCTCCAAAACGGGAGACAAAGCGGATGGTGAACAAGACAGTTCCTGCCGCTGGGAAAGGCTGGGAAAGGCTGGGAAAGGCTGGGAAAGGCCTGAGGATCCCAGGGCCGGGAACCAGACGCCAGAGGGGGAGGTGGGGAGGAGACAGGCTCGCTGGGGACGGCCGGAAGCTGGCAGCCGCCGCCGCCTGCTGTGGGCTACACTGCCCACCCGGAGCCTTCAGCCCACGCACAGCTGTGTCCCCCAAAGGCCGGAACAAACCCTGAGCCTGACCTTTGCCCCCGCGCTGGCCTCTCTCCAGGCAGGGCTTATGGATGCTGACGGCCACCTGGTGGGTGAGTCTGACGGACAAGGCTTTGGACTTGGGGTTGCCTCTTACTCTAGCAAACCTGGGAAGAAAACCAAGTCCAGGAGGACATTGAAAGAGCAGCTCAGGTGAGTGACTGCCCTGCTGGCCTGCCGCTCAGCACCCGGCCCTCCTGGGCTGGCGACGGAGGACACTACCTGTCTCCCCCTTCCCTCTGGTCTCGCTACTCTGTGGCCACAGTGCGTGTCCCTGCTGCCAATACTAGCAACATCTATGGGCCCAGCGGGGCTGTCCCCTCACCGCACAGCAGCCCCACGAGCTGGGAGCTAGTGCCCCCATTTCACAGATGAGGAAACAGGCCCAGGGAGGGGAAGTCCCTTCCAAGGTCACACCTCCGCTGAGCCCAGCAGCGTTCAGGCGAGAAGCTGGGCTGGCATTTGCCCTCCGCTACTTCCTGTCAAACCCACCTCCCAACGGAGTCCTCTGTGACCAGCTGCCTGGCACTCACACCACCCAGAACCCCATTCACCACTCAGGCCAGACTCCTCTGTGGGTGCAAGGTGGTGGGGGGTCAGGGTTCCCTCATTCAGCCCCGCGTGTGCTGCGGAGAGGCAGGCAGCAGCACAGGTTCTGGAGGGGGTGGCTGCACCCCTCACCTCCTCACTCCCCGCCTCTCTCATCCCCGGGGCCTCTCACCTTGTGTCAGCCTGAGCCTCTCTGGGCCTCGCCTTCCATCTCTGAAACGGGAACAACAAGCCCTGCCGGGTTAGAGCGTCGTCCTGATACGCTAAGGTTGCAGGTTCGATCCCCGGTCAGGGCACAGCAAGAATCAGCCAATGAATGTGTGAATGAGTGCGAAACACATCGATGGGGTTTTTTCTTTTCTTTTCTTCTCTCTCCCTCTCCCTCTCTCCCTTCCTCTCTCTCTCCCTCTCCCCCCCACTCTCTCAAATCAATAAATAAAATTGTTTTAAGAATAAAGTGGAATAGTAATAATAATAACAGCATCGCTGTCGTTGGAGTTGCTGTGAGGATGAGTGAGTGAATGCCGCCCCTTGTTACTGGTACGATCACTCTCGAAAGGATGTGGCCCAACACTGACTGCAGAGTCGCCCCCCCCCCACCCCCCCGTTCTGCTGCCCGGTAATCGGTGCAGTTGCAGGTAGACCGAGGCTTCCTCCCCTCCCCCAAAGCCGATGTTGCAAGAAAATGAAGAGGAGGAAGGAGCAGGGGCATCTCCTGTCAGCACAGGCCCTGCTCACGTGGGCCTCTCTGGGCGGAGGACCCGGCACCGACCCAGAGGGTGGCAGCCATGTCCTGGCTGGGTGGGCACCGGTGTGGGTGGAGAGCAGGTCCTGGGCTGGTCCACAGGCAGCCCGCCTGGTGGAGGCGCTGCGGGTCCTTCCCAGAGAGGCCTCGGGACTCGGGGTGGCCCTGAGAGCTGTGGCCCACCCCCCAGGGCCCGGGGCCTCCTGCCCAGACTGCTCCAGGGCGGCTTCCTTAGTCTCCCCATCTGCATGGCTCAGGGTCATACTCTGTCCTTGCCCCTGGGCATAGGACCAAGGTCGGAGCTGGGTGGGATGGGGCTCCGAGTGCGAGGGCCGAGAAAGGGCACTCCGTCAGCGTGGGGGACGCCCCCCTCCCCAGGCCTGAGCCCCGGGGCTCCACCCTCTCCTTCCAGCTCCCCGGCAAAAAAGGAAGGTGGCAGCAGCCCTGTGAGCGGCAAGGATATGGATGTTTCCACCTCCAAGACCCAGCTGACCCCACTCTCCAAGGAGGGGGACGTCAAGGACGTGATTGTGCGGGACCGGGAGACCTCCAACATCGAGACCCTCCCCTCGGACTCCCCCAAGGAGGAGCCACGCCCACCCAGGTGACCGTCTAACGCGAGCCCCAGCCCAGATCCCCCAAACCAGAGTGTGATCCTCAGCATGTGGAGTCCCTGCAGAGAAGCCCGGGTGACGGGCAGGCCCCGGCGCACAGCCCAGGAGGAGGCCGCGCGGCATCACCTGCGAGGGTCCAAGCACGGGCTCATGAGACCCTCCGAGTAGCAACTATTTTAGGATTAAATTTACATATTTTTGGAATAAGTAATGACTCAGAAAGCAACGACTTTTCCAGGTAGTAGACCCCTTCCTCCAGCCACACGGTTCCTCTCCTCGGTGAGCGAGGGAGTGAGTTCTCAGGAACCTGCCCTGAGGAAATAACCGGAGATCTGGACAGAGGTCTATGCAGAAGGCGGCCATGGCGCCAACTGGAAAAGCAAATCCAAACACCTAACAGCTGACACCAGGGAAAGGCTCTGAGGGGGTTATCATCTCCTCCCCGGGGGTGTGCGAGGATGTGCATGAACACACACACACACACACACACACACCCACCCCAGCGTGACCACGTCCAGACCCTCAGAGGAGCTGGAAGAACTATCCCGGCCCACGCGCTGACTCAGCTCACCTGTCACTATGCCCATTTCTTGGTGTGCCGTCTTTCTCTCCTTCCCTCCGTCCCTCCCCGGCACGGGAGGTGCAGACAAGTCCCTCCCCCCCAGCACTAAATCTCACCTCTCCTTAACTGGAGTTCTCAGAGAGTTTTTAATAGCGTGAAAGAATGCTTCTGAGAAAAAAAAGACGTAAAATTATTCATGCCGCATGACCTCCAGCGTTTAAAAATCCCTCAAAGCGATCCCTGAAGGAGGTTCAGCAGAGCGAGGTTTGCTTTGGTTTCTGTTTGTTCTGCGTCCCCTTGCTCCCCTCGTGCTGCGCCGCGGTCACGCGCCCTTGTGTGCGAGTAACACAGAGGAGGGATTGGTTCCCCCCGCCCTCTGGCCGGGCCTTCCTGCTGCCAAGGCCCCAGGGGAGACAGGTGAAGGACCTGGTGGCTCCAACAGAGCTGCCCCCCTCTCCCCCCCCATCTTCAGGCCCAGCACCCCACCCTCCAAGCCTGTGGCCTTTGAGGACTTTAAGAACGAGCGAGGTAGTGAGATCAACCGCATCTTCAAAGAAAACAAGTCCATCTTGAACGAGCGGAGGAAAAGGGCCAGTGAGACCACGCAGCGCATCAACGTCATCAAGAGGGAGATCGACGTCACCAAGGAGGGACTGAGTGCCCAGAAGTCCCTGCGGGAGAAGCAGGGTAAGGAGGCGGGAAGGTGGCTGGGCCTGTGGGGTCGGAGTCACGCTGTTCCGAGCGGGACCGCCTCGGGAGCCGGAGGGGGTGGGAGGGAGGGACTGAGTGCCCAGAAGTCCCTGCGGGAGAAGCAGGGTAAGGAGGCGGGAAGGTGGCTGGGCCTGTGGGGTCGGAGTCACGCTGTTCCGAGCGGGACCGCCTCGGGAGCCGGAGGACGGGGTGGGAGGGCCCCCCGGGGCCGTGGGGTGCGGCCTCCCCTCTGGGTCAGCCCTGGGGAGCCCGAGTCCCTCCGGTCAGCCAGCCTCTGCCTGGGGCCCCTCCTTGCTGTGTCTCACGCCAGCGCTAGGCCTCATCTACATGCATCTGCTGCCCATGGACATAGAGGCTTCCCAGGTGGAGGGGGGCTGGTGACCCCGTACGGTCCCTGGGTCTGATGGCGGCGGGGTGCTGGCTAAGAGGAAATCGAGGAGCAATGAGAAGGGGCCGAGCAGAGGGCCAAGGATTCACTGTCACGGAGACATTCCTCACGCACCCCCGCACCGTACTGGCTTGGCAAGGACCCGTCTGCTAAGGGAGGTAGTGAGGGGCCATCAGGCTCAGAGAGCAGGCCCCCCACGTGGGCACCCTGACCTGGCGGCGCCCTGGTCCCAACGGGAGACGTTGCCCACACCCGCCCCCGGCCGCACGCTCGTGTGCTGCGGGCAGTGGACAGCCAGGTGAGCGGCTGACAGACCATGTTATTTTGCCTTAACCCATCGATCCTCCAGGAACTGACGGAGCTTCCGGTCCGTCCGGAGGGGCTGCGTGGAGCAGATGCTAAGAGCACAGCTGGCTCCTCTCCCGGAGCCTCTGCAGCCACTCGATAGGGTGCAGGCGTCCCATCGTCTCTGACAAGGGGGTGGCCGATGAATCTCCGGTCACCAGGAGACCGTCTGGAACGCGGGCTCCCACGCCCGCGAGGCCA